AAAAAAAGATTTTTTCAAACTACAGTATACCCACCTCGTCATCAATACTTCTGAAGTTTTTGAAAGTCTCTGCAAGATCTTTTTTTTTTTTGATAACCAAGAAATCAATCCGTCTGTGACCTGCCCTTTGGACCAATCATAGCCTTCTCAACTCGGTGGATAATGGGACCGCCCCTCTACCCTTCTCCACTTAAATACTGGGCTTCGCTTTGCATGGTGTGGGGCTTGAACCTGCAACCTAAGCCACAAATCCTCCACCTTTTTCCACTAGAGCTAAGCCTTGGGATCCACTTAAATACCGGGCTTCGCTTTGCATGGTGTGGGGCTTGAACCTGCGACCTAAGCCACAAATCCTCCACCTTTTTCCACTAGAGCTAAGCCTTGGGATCCACTAAAATACCGGGCTTCGCTTTGCATGGTGTGAGGCTTGAACCTGCGACCTAAGCCACAAATCCTCCACCTTTTTCCACTAGAGCTAAGCCTTGAGTTCCACTTAAATACCGGGCTTCGCTTTGCATGGTGTGAGGCTTGAACCTGCGACCTAAGCCACAAATCCTCCACCTTTTTCCACTAGAGCTAAGCCTTGAGTTCCACTTAAATACCGGGCTTCGCTTTGCATGGTGTGGGGCTTGAACCTGCGACCTAAGCCACAAATCCTCCACCTTTTTCCACTAGAGCTAAGCCTTAGGGTCCACTTAAATACCGGGCATCACTTGCATGGTGTGGGGCTTGAACCTGCGACCTAAGCCACAAATCCTCCACCTTTTTCCACTAGAGCTAAGCCTTGGGCTCCACTTAAATACCGGGTTTCGCCTTGCATGGTGTGGAGCTTGAACCTGCAACCTAAGCCACAAATCCTCCACCTTTTTCCACTAGAGCTAAGCCTTGGGTTCCACTTAAATACCGGGCTTCGCTTTGCATGGTGTGGGGCTTGAACCTGCGACCTAAGCCACAAATCCTCCACCTTTTTCCACTAGAGCTAAGCCTTGGGATCCACTTAAATACCGGGCTTCGCTTTGCATGGTGTGGGGCTTGAACCTGCGACCTAAGCCACAAATCCTCCACCTTTTTCCACTAGAGCTAAGCCTTGGGATCCACTTAAATACCGGGCTTCGCTTTGCATGGTGTGGGGCTTGAACCTGCGACCTAAGCCACAAATCCTCCACCTTTTTCCACTAGAGCTAAGCCTTGGGTTCCACTTAAATACTGGGCATCGCTTTGCATGGTGTGGGGCTTGAACCTGCGACCTAAGCCACAAATCCTCCACCTTTTTCCACTAGAGCTAAGCCTTGGGCTCCACTTAAATATCGGGCTTCGCTTTGCATGGTGTGGGGCTTGAACCTGCGACCTAAGCCACAAATCCTCCACCTTTTTCCACTAGAGCTAAGCCTTGGGCTCCACTTAAATACCAGGCTTCGCTTTGCATGGTGTGGGGCTTGAACCTGCGACCGAAGCCACAAATCCTCCACCTTTTTCCACTAGAGCTAAGCCTTGGGTTCCACTTAAATACTGGGTTTCGCTTTGCATGGTGTGGGGCTTGAACCTGCGACCTAAGCTACAAATCCTCCACCTTTTTCCACTAGAGCTAAGCCTTGGGGGCAGTCACAGCAAGATCATTATGCAAGCTTTCGATGGAAATTGGCCTTGACAATTGAAGATCATCCAACCTTTTCAAGTTAACAAGAAGTGAATATTCAGCATCATCATCCTGCAACAACAAAAAATTGCACATTTAACAAAATGCATCAATAGAACTAATCCCCTTCAATTTGTTAAGGGCACATACAGCAACTTCGTTTATTGCAGATTTAAGTGATAATGAGCTCATCTTCAATCCCCTTCTATTTGTTAAGGGCAAAGTCCTGTAACTCCCCACCACTCGCTGTAGCACAGAAGTTCAGAGCTTTTACACGAGATCTCAGAGCTTCATTCTCACCATGCTTAAATATTGCCTTTTTCATCAGAAGGAAAGCAGTTTTAAAATTCTGGAAAAGCAAAATAAAACAGCTTTTAGTTACCAGTTCAAAATAAATTACTTCATAATAGCAATCCCCTATATAGTTCACGATCTTAATAAGTTTAATTGTTCAAGATGCAAGCATTTCTACAGTTTAAAGATAAATCAATAGTGTCAGAGCTATACTACTATTCCTCTATACAAAAGTAAGGTATGAGCTAGAGTTACGACCAATGAAGAGAAAACATTGAATGGGACAGGAAAGACCACCTGTGATATTTAGTTGGCGTTCACAAAGCTTCTAGAACTTTTGATGAATGGATTCATCAGGCGAGTACCCCAAAGCTTCTAGCTCCGTGGATGATGCAAGGGTTGCTTTCCTGAACAGCCACCACTGCTCTGAAAAAACAACACAACCTAGACCAAGAAAAACAACAAACTCAATTAACCAAAAGAGAACATAGTAGGCACTAACAGGAGATAAGTGAACATATAATTTTTGGAATAATGCTTACCCTACATGCAAGTTGACTTGCACGAAGACAGTAGCGACTAGCTAGAAGATCCTTTTCAAGGACAGTAAGTTTAGCCCTCCATGGTGATGATGCAACGAAGGCCTTCTCCCTTCAACATTAATTCAAAAGCCTTGTTGATTTAAGAAAATGGGTGTGTATGAGTGATGAATTTATCCAATTCAAGTTCCTTATTCATGTATTTCTCAACAACAGAAGGAATATCTGAACTAGGTTTGTAGTTTCCAAAGAAGGTTTCTTTGAGAGTCCTTTCATTCAGAAAGTTCATAGGGTATGTCTTGAACAAAGCTTCCTTATGGCACCAACAAGTACAGCCACTCCCCACCCCTGATAATTAATTACGACAATGTTCGTTAAGATAAATGTATTAAAAAGAACATACAATTAAGGAAATTTGATGATAGAAAACATACATCATGGACACATTCAAATGCTGGAATCATAGCATCAATATGGCCAGTACATTCCACACTCCTATCGACTCCACCATCAGTCATCTCAGCAATTACCTGATCAAATAATCAAAATTCAAGAAAAGATGTAAACTATAACTCACAACTGTCTTTTTTTTCTTTCGCGAAATGATCTATTAGGAGAAGTAAATATGAGTACCTCTTGAACTGGTTTACTATAATCCTTTGGGTTCACAAACTGTGTCACACCAAATTTCTTAGCTGTAGAATAAAAGTAAAACGGATGAATTAGTTGCTTTGCTATGAGACACGTTACAAGGAAGGAATTACTCCCTCTATCCCAATTTATGTGACTCACTTTCCTTTTTAGTCAGTCTCAAAAAGAATAACACATTTCTATAATATAAAGAGTAACAATTTAACTATAAAATGTCTATTTTACCCTTAATGAAATGATTTACAGTCTCACAAATTTCTATCATTCATTTTGGACCACAAGTTTTAAAAGTCTTCCTTTCTTTCTTAAACTCCGTGCCAAGTCAAAGTACCTCATATAAAATGGGACGGAGGGAGTATAAAATAATGGATCAAAGAATGTGTAAGGCACAAGTTAATTACCTTGCTCAAATCTGCTAGCATTTAAATCTACACCAATTATCCTTGAAGCACCAACAATTCTTACTCCATCTGCAGCCTGACCAAATGAGATCAGATCATTAGTAAGATTAACATATATATGGATAAAAACATAACAGAACAAGAAAGTTATTTGCCATGTGAAGAATACTCACAGCAAGGCCTACAGCCCCCAGTCAAAAAATAGCCACACTTGAACCTTTTGTTGGTTTAGCAACATTCAAAGTTGCTCCAAGGCTTTCAAAAACATCTGCAAATAAAGGAATGAACGTCCTATCATCAGCATGTGTAAACCACCTCAATAGATATACACAAAAAGGATTCAACAGCGAGAAAGTAAAATCTAATTAGAATCGGTTAGAGAGGAATTGAAGCAAGCAAGCACAACAAAACAAAACTAATCTGACTATTATAGCTTCTGATGGTTTCATTCCTTGAATAGGAAGTGAGTCACCTTCAAAGAACAGGATTATTTGTAGTGACTTTTTTTTGGGGACTGATAAGGTATAACTGAAGTGACTTTTCAAAGAGGAAGGAATAATCACAGAAGGCCTTTGATTGTAGCTATGCATGTGGCTCCCAAAGCGATCAAAATGCTACAGAAATGCTACAGGAATGCCCTTCCCATATAGTTGGGAAGTCACTGGTTGAAAAGAGACATCAAATGGAGCAGGCAAGCTAGCTGATTTGACCATTCCACCATATTGATACATTTTTAGATCTTAAAAAAACCAGATTCATGAAATGATTAGCAAGTGAAAGACCGATCTCTTTGCACCAATACTCAAATACTGTTGCAAGATTGGTACTGGAGCATGGTTGAGACCAATGTGAAAATACGAATGCCAGATCCACAATCTTTGGAAACGGAAGACCCCAGGCCTCATTAACAAATACACAAAAAGAAGTATATTTAAAATGCTCCTAATTTTTTCTTAGTTGAAGTTCCTATATTCTCTTAGTTGAAAACAGAATACACTATACACCTAACCTTAGGAACTGCGTCAGCAGCAACCAACTTCCCAACAGCAATGATTACCAATTTGCATAGGTGAGGGGTAGTTTTGGCCCTTTTCTGTTGAAACAGTTAAACTTAGCCATAGGGCTTTAATGGCAATCTAACAAGAAAGTATAGATCAGGACTACATGGCATCTCAATTCTAATTCAAATTTCTTTAATAAATAAAAGTGCTATGATACGAAGCATGATACTAAAAATTAATTGTTCTAGATGCAGGCTTTTTTTGAAACTGGTTTAAATATAATACTGTTAAGAGCCATACAATATTCCTCCATACAACAGTAAGATGTGAGCTAGAACTGCCACGAATTGAAAGAAAACAATGAATGGGAGAGCAAAAACCACCTGGAATATGTAGTTGGCGTTAACAAAGTTTCCAGAACTTTTGAAGAATGGATTCATCTGGAGAGTACCCCAAAGCTTCTAGCTCTGTGGATGAAAGGGTTGCTTTCCTGAAACAGCCACCATTGTTCTGAAAAAACAACACAAACCTAGACCAAGAAAAACAACAAACTCAATTAACCAAAAGAGAAAATAGAAGGCACTGACAGGAGATAGATGGAACATAGATGTTTGGAAAAATGGATACCCTACATGCAAGTTGACTTGCACGAAGACCTTCCAGAGATTTATTAGTCAGGAAGGACTTAAGTATTTCAAATAAGGACTGTGCCATAGTTTATGATAAGAGTGTAGGCATCAGTAAACATGCAGACGCATGTTAAGAAGAAGAAATGCAATAACCTAAACAAGTAAATTAAAGCAGTTGTGGTGGCAAGACTACGAAAAAGAATTATTCAAACTACAATATACCCACCTCGTCATCAATACTTCTGAAGTTTTTGAGAGTCTCTGCAAGATCTTTATGCAAACTTTCAATGGAAATTTGCCTTGACAATTGAAGTTCATACAACCTGTTCAAGTCAACAAGCAGTGAGTATTCATCATCACCATCACCATCCTGCAACGACAACAATTGCACATTTGACCAAGCTGCATCAATAGAACACAGTCACCTTCAATTTGTTAAGGGCACATACAGCAACTTCTATTATAGCAGATTTAAGTTTGATAATGAGCTCATCTTCAATCCCCTTTGATTTGTTAAGGACGAAGTCCTGTAACTCCCCACGACTCTCAGTAGCACAGAAGTTCAATGCTTTTACACAAGATTCTACGAGCTTCCTTCTCACCATTCTGAAAAAATGCCTTTTTCACCAGAAGGACAGAAGATTTAAAATCCTGGAAAAGCAAAAGAAAACAGATTTTAGTTACCAGTTCAAAAAAATTTATTTCATATTGGCAATCCCCTATACAGTTCATAATCGTAATAAGTTCCACAAATGCACCTGAAGGAAGACTTGGCAGACATCTGTGGGAGCATTTAATGAAATTCTCCATCTTAAATACTACACTTCTCCATACTGCACTAATGCCTATTTCTGGAACAATGATACATTGACAATGAGCTCATCTTCAATCCCCTTCAATTTGTTGAGGGTGTAGTCCTGTAACTCCCAACAAATCTCAGTAGCCCAGAAGTTCAAAGCTTTTATACAAGATCTCAGAGCTTCCCTCTCTCCATGCTTAAAAAATGCCTCGTTCATCAGAAAGACAGCAAATTTAAAAATCTGGAAAAGCAAAAGAAAACAGCTTTGAGTTACCAGTTCAAAAAAAATAATTACTTCATATTAGCAATCCCATATATAGTTCATGATAGTAAGAGGTTTCACAAATGCACTTAATCTTGTCTTTTAAGAGAATAGAGCTCTAGGTTCATATGAACAATGAGTTCAAGAAGATAGGGAATTTTTGCTTTGTCAGACATAAATTTGCGCATAAGCTGTGGATAATTCCTCATCATAGCAATGGTTATATCACGCATAGAACTTTCAAACACGTCCTGGCGATTACAGCATAAGCATTCAAAGAATTCAGTATCCCGGAGTAGTATGGTGGAACAACACCAACATAATTTGTCATTGACAAAGAACACTTAAGAAGGAACCTTACCAAATTACCTCAAACATCATGTTCAATAGTCCAGCCATTGCAGCTTTCGGATCCTTCTCATAGTGTTCCACCCAATGCTTGGTCTTTTCTCAAACAATAGTGACTAGCTAGAAGCTCCTTTTCTAGGACAGTAAGTTTAGTCCTCCATGGTGATGATGCAACGAAGACCTTCCCCCTTCAACATTAATTCAAAAGCCTTGTAGATTTCAGAATATGGGAAGTGTATGACTGATGAATTTCTCCAATTCAAATTCCTTATTCATGTATTTCTCAATAACAGAAGGAATATCCGAACGAGGTTTGTAGTTTCCAAAGAAGGTTCCTTTGAGAGTCCTTTCATGTAGAAAGTTCATAGGGTGTGTCTTGAACACAGCTTCCTTATGGGGTATACCAATAAGAACAGCTACTCCCCACCCCTGAAAATTAATTACGACAATGTTCATTAAGATTATTGTATAAATAAGAATATACAACTAAGGAACTATCTTTTTACACCAATAATAAAAAGATACAATACAATTCCATCCAACTTTATGGATGGAATTGGACAAAAGTAAGTTGCTATCTCACTAGACAAAAGAACAATATTTACTTTCTAAAAGATAAAGAGAGACCCAAAAGCTATAGTCAAAAATATAAAACCAAGAGAAAAGATAGTCAAACAATTACATACATAAAATCAGTCAGAGCAAAGTAAAGGTGAACAGATGGCCAGAACACGCACACTGGCAAATGCAAAGATCAGCTCATAATCATGGAACTTCGAAATCAAACTTACCAATCATCCACTTCAAGAAATCCCATAAGCAAGCCCAGGGGTTGACTATTTTCTAGCTCCGAGGAGCGCTCAGCAACTGCATCTGTTTCCATGTCAAATGCAGCATACAGATCCACCGTCACATCTCCTTGCTTCTCTTCATCCATGAGATCCTTCCCAGTAGCAGCAACAATTATTCTACCTATTTTGTTAGCCTACATGAATCCAAGAGGAAAGCTAAAATAACCCACTAACCAAACAAGCACGCAAAATTTCAAGCTAAAATACCCACATTGAACAGAAGTATTCACACTAGAAAATGTTGGAACCTCATCAAGTCTTTTAGCTAAAAATGCATTGTAATGGTCAAAAGCAGCATCCTCCTTGGGAAGTAAATGTGCATAACTGAAACAAAAACCAGGTCGCCAGTAGCAATAAGTTGAATTAAATCCAATAGTCCAGGTTACCTACCAAGAGCCAACTAGAAAGCCCAATTAGGCTTTGGGCCTTTCACAACTCAAATTAATCAGTAGATGCTTTTGCTTTTGCTCAGAATAAGCAACTTCTTATATCAATAAACAAGAGTATGTAAAGATCCTACTTATTATCCCAAAAGGAGAAGACACATACATAAATAGCATATTGTTTCCCTGTATTCATTTTATCAAGCTTACAAGTCTCTGCCTTTTGTTGCCTCCCTAGTGCCCTTTGACACCAATCTCAGGGAAACATCCTATTTTATTATTATATTAAATGATCTTTTAGATGATAACATTCATATCATCCTTTTACAAGCAGTATGTTGTACATAAAAGAAGCCACGAAAAAACTACACGAGATAATCTTAACTCCTTAAAAATACTTTGGTCCAACGAATAACAGTGCCTTTAATTATCTATTTTGTTTTACTATCATAATTCACATTAGTCGCCAGCATCATCAGAAGGCATCGGTATCCTATACTCTTAGTTATGTCAATGTGCAAGAGATAATAACCAAAATCACCAAGTCAAACTCTTAATTTTTTGATAAAATACACAACTTTTTCTACATTCTTTTTGACAAGGTAAATTTCTCGATTTGTGCATGTCATCCAAATTATATTTACACATAAAGAAGGTGTCCGATAAAATACACAGTTAAATTACCATCTACAGCTTGTGAAATAGATAATAAATAACAAAACCCATTTCTGCAAGAGCAACATAAAGAGAAAAAAAACCACTCAAGCACGAAGAAAGACATAATACTTGCTAGCAAGAAAGGTGGATGTTCATGCACTCTTTTATGCACAACAGTTATTCAGAGCTTATTTAAAGCCTAATGTTCACTACAAAAGTTAAGTATCCTTTTTGGCACTCAAATCTTTAAAGAAATTGTAAAGCGGAGGAGGAAAAGGTGGGTTGAGGTAACCAAGTATACAGATATACTCACATGCTATCAACATAAATGAAGTCTCTTTTCACCAGCAAGGCCGTCAGCTGATAAAGTTCACTTGGAACAGGATCATTTACTTCCAGGCATTGGTAGTATTGAAACTTAAACCCCAGAATCTGGGAGGCATGGGACTGCAAATAATGGAGAGAAAATGGAAAACAAATGCACTTTCAAGACTGGGAGAGCTCCACAAAACAAGAAAACAATAAGGCAACCACAATTATACCTTGGGAAATATGGGAATCAAGTCCAAAAATATACTATTTACCAGGCTGACGTTCAAAACACTCCAAAACCTGTATAATCACAGGCCAAAGATAGAACTGAACACTGACCTTTCAAAGGTTTAAAAGGAATGGAAGTCAAAAAATGGATTAAACAGAGTAGAAATGTACGATATCATTATGGATAAAGAACGTACAATATCAAAGACTCGGTTTGGATCCAAATCAAAGTGCCCAATCAACAACTGCATATGGTCCAAGAATTAGAAATACATAAAAATAAGATTTCAGCTACCAAAGTGCTGAGTTGAAAATAAACCTTGATTATGCCAACTGTAGCAGCTGAAGCATTATGGTTAGAACCCTCTGGAATTTGACAAAGGAGAGTGACCTACAATTACAGTCAATGGAAGGTCAAAATAAAGGAGAAAACAGAAGTTGAGCTACAAAGAAGTGGAGACGAGGAAAACATCACCAAAAGCAAGCATGAACTTCTAAAATTTGCCTAATCTAAAGAACAAACACATAGAGAACTTTGCTTTGTACAAAGCAAGAAAGGAATGGGATAATCCTTTTGCTTGGAAGGAGAAGTGTGAGTTCGGTCTTTCTTCCCTTACTTTAATCCATTGACTAAAGAAAGGGAAAGGATGAAAGTTCGCAACCAGTTTTCAATGGACAGGCAGAAGTCCTCCAGTCACCTCCCACACTTACGTGTCATTTAGTTGCACTTAATGGGGTCTGAATCTGAATGCTTCAGATCTCGGTCCATTAAGTGCATTTGTTTTTTGCATTTTAAAATCTCTTAATGAGGGAGGCAAGACTGAAATGATTCGGACATGCGAAGACAAGATTGCGCATATGCCCCATAGAGGAGGTGTGAGAGGTTGTCTATGGGGGTCTAAGGAGAAGTAGAGGTATGCCGAAGAAGTATCAAGCAGAGGTGAGTATACAGGACATGGAACACATACAGCTTACCGAGAACATGATCCTAAATAGGAAAATATGGAGGCCGAGGATTACAGTAGAAGGTTAGAAGGTAGTTGAGCATTGTCTAGTTTCCCTCATCACTATTATTAATATTACGCTCCTATCTTGTTCTTCGATTTTATTGTTGCATGTTTGCTTTGCTTCGGTTATCGTACTATATGTTGTTACCATTGTTCTTTTCTCCATTATTTTCGATCTCACTGTTTTACTATTGTATTTCTTTTTCATACTAACTTTTATATAAAGTCATATTCTTTAATTGAGCTGAAGATCCATCAGAAACCTCTCTAGCTTCAAAAGGTAGGGGTAAGGTGCGCGCCTACACACTACCCTCCTCAGACACCACTTGTGGGATTACACTAGGTATGTTGTTGTTGTTTAATGGGTCTGAACGGACCTGAATAAATCACATTTCAGACATATTTAGAAACGCTACTTTTATTTCCTGAAAAGTTCACGCTTCTCTTTTTCTCTTCAACAGAAAATTTCATACCTC